ATCGTGACCCCTGAATGACCTTCAAAATGACCTTCCAAGGATTTTTCAAGGTCAGTACCATACTTCCCCCGTGTAACCCTAAACTTTTCATACGAAACATTTTCCTCTATCCCTACTAGTTTTCGAGATATTTGACTGGATCACTTCAGATGGTCCACCCTGTATATAGCGATTTTTTATTAAATAATTTATAAAGTTATGATTTGGAGGAGAAATATTTATACTCTCTCTCTCTTCTTGTGTTATTTTATTCATTTTTTATTATCTTATTACTTACTGTAAAACAATACAGTTACCATGTACCAAGGACGGCTAATTTGCCGTCATACGAAAATATACAGAATCCTAGCGACAGTGATATATAACAATGACAAAGACACCATCAGTTCAGATGCTCCGCAACCGTAAGTCACATGCTCCAGAGGATGTTTTGTGAAGCAATTCTTCAGCTTGCGTCTTTTTAGAGTGTTCAATGGAATCTTGTGACAGGGTTTGTCGCCCATGCTATTTATGTACTCAAGGGGTGAGATGTTGACAGGCGTTACTTCTAATTTTATGTCCAAACACGTTGGGTACATGCTGTCCACCACAACTAGCAACAGATTAGTATGTGCAACCTGTAAATTATTACAGACGATTATTTTTTTTAAACTATTCGATTGCTGTATTATATACATACGTAATTTATATGCAATATAATATTTTTTATATAAAATTGTCATCAATTAATTTAACAGCATAAACATGTTGATAACGTCTCATCATTTCATAAACTGAAAAATAAAGAATATAGGAAACTATTGAGGAATACAAAAGAGTATATTATCAATCATCTCTAAAGAGCATATCAAAAATATCATCAATAAATCAAGAAATAATTTCTCATAAATCTATTTTAATTTGATTCCAATATTTCGATACATTCATTACTTCTTCTTCCGTCAATGTTCGTCAATGTTCGTCGATGATTAACATGCTGATCCAATCAACCTCACTTTAAATACATTATTCTGATGCATCGTAAATATGTAAATTGTACAATTATACCATCAAATTGTGAAATTATTGACAGTACAATGATATGCACAAGTAATCGTTTTTAATTATTCACGCGTACTTTTTAAATAATTAACGTTATGATTGTTTTAAGATTGTCTTAAAAAGTATGATATTTGTATGATAATTACAGTTTTACACATGTTAAATCTCTACATTTATTAAAAACTGCTTAGAGCCGCACTCATCAGAATTAAAGTAAAATGTTAATAATTGAAAACAAGACATAAAATAGGTTTTACATATTATAGATAAAAATATGTTCGTAATATTTGCTTAGTATGTATAAAAATCGTAAAATCTTATCCTCTCCATCTCAAATAAAATAAAAAATATTTACTCTCTGAGCGTAAAAAGGCCGCGAGCAGTAAGTGGAGTGATTGGTGACACCTTTAGCAGCAACGGTCTCGTTCAACAAATAGAGTGTTCGCTTTTGATCACAGGAATAGTAATAAATATAGGGTTCTGGTGGTGGCGGCGGATCTGGTGCATCTTCATCGAGGTGGACCTTGCCATGAATGCCGGGCAGGTTTACAAACTGGGTCACGTACCATATCAATCGCAACAGAAACCAGAGCAACAATCTTGCAACATGTTGCAACGGTTCCATTAAGCTGTTGGCAGAGTTACCGTTTCGCTGGAACAATTTGCGACTCCGTAAAAAAGCACGCTCTTTTTTTAAAATAAAAAAAATAATAATAGAAAAGCTTTGGGAACAACTTCATGCTATTTTTTATGCTCTCACCAAATACAAAATTCTTTATAATTTTTATAATGATTAAAAACTCAACTTTGTGAAATCTATTTAAATATGATCTTTTAATATAATCAATATTTTATATTTTTGTCGATTATCATATTATTCTTTGACATATATTACTTACGGTCTCATGACACAATGCTTGATAATCAAAGATGTCGATCGGATTGTAAAGACCCTGTTTGACCATGGATAGCATGACGGCACCTTCCTGAGTGCCCATAAATTGTCCGGTATTATTATGTTCGTCTGAGATCACTATGTAGCCGTTTTGATCTAGCAGGTAACAATCAATCCAATTGTGGGCGCAATTTATTATCGTATTTGTCGTCTGATTGTCTGAGATTAATTCAATGAACCGCTTATACAGATCTTTCATCGGCATCTGAAAACCTACTACAGCCGCTGGTGCTTTCTTGCCGCCATCCTTGGGCGCCAGGCTCATCGAAGCAGTCACTATCGCGTCCACGCCTGATTCCCATGAAACTGCAATGATACTTTGTTTCAAATATTATACTACTACTCATTTCAAATATAAATCATATATAATAAATAATTATATAAATGTTGATTTTAAATAAATAACAGAATGATTATAAAAGATAATTAAAAAAAAATTTAATAATTATTTCAGGCTCAGCTAAATTAAATCAATTGTGAAATCATGCCTATATGAGCCGACACAAAGTTTTTTAGTGTGTATGTTCTTTATTAAATTTAGATCCAATCAACAAACGTTTCGATATATCTTTCGGATCCTCTTCAATGTAACCTAATGCATATAAAATTGTCCTGTATAATGTCTATCCACAAAAAGTTGATCTCTCTAAATGGTAAAAACGTTGTGAAATATAATGTGATTAGAGAGGAGATGAAGTTTTACATTCTCGTATTATACTTTACAACATTTTTATCATTAAAAGAGATCAACTTATTGCGGATAGACAATATACAGGAGAATTTTATATGCGTTAAATTACATTGACTAGGATCTGGAAGATGGATCAAAACTTTGTTGATTAAATACTAAGTATAAGCATATTCAGGCCTATGACGATCAAAGCTAGATTTTTTTGCCTAAATAATTCACAGTGAATCTTATCTATATCCTATATATGTATATGCATATATATCATATTTTTGTAGTTATTCAAACTGCGCGCCGAAATTTTTCCGGACTTTATCTAACGCAATTAAACTATTACAATAATATCACAAATTAAATTAAATTGACAATGTGCTGAAAACCTTAAATAAATTTATTGCGAAAAATATTAGCTCGGCCGGGATTTGAACCCGGATCTCTTGTATTCCGTACGAGCGTCCTAAGCCATTAGACCACCGAGGCGAATAAAATCTTATTTTATTTGTTGAATAGATTTAAATTTAATAAAGAACATACACACTAAAAAACCTGTATGAGCCTTGTGTCGGCTAAATATGATTTCACGATTGATTTAACAAAAAATACACAAATACATACACGACATTAATAATAAAAAAATTCTATGTCCTATCTACAATGAATATGACTTTTACCAGATAAAGAAATACTTTCGGAATCTAGTTCACTTTGAAAGATCGCGCCTTTGTACCAAGGTTCATTCACTGCTCGTCTATGAAGATCACCGAAAACAACACTGTCATCAGTGTCATCCACATTCGGCAGTTTGCTGGCTTTAAGATGATGCCACCTGGTGAGCCCGCTTTGCGTCGCGATAAATCTTATAAAGATACCATAGTGATGTGCAAGATCCCGAGCTCTTGGAGATAAATTCTCTATATAGTCATCACGGAAGTTGTTGTTTGTCGCCTTGGCATCAAATACAAGTAACTGCATAAGTTCTTTGTTGCAATAGTAGTCATCGTGCTTGAGCGTTTGTCTGCCACAGTTGGATTCTTCATCAACATCTTCATCTATAGATGAATAAGCTTCATATTGCTGAGACCAGCGCCAACCAGGACGGCTCATTAGCGCCAAAAAATGACGCAACTCGTCTTCCGGTTTATTGAACTCATGACCTTCTAAATAATGGTAACGACAATATACCCAGCTAGGATGTACGCGCCAATAATCGCCCACAAAATAATCCGATACATTCATATTCATATTCTGATTTCTGCGAATCTCATCGCCGACCTTGAAAAATTAGACGTAGGAATGATTTGAGCGCATATTCAATATCATGAGCACAATTGCGTGTATAATAAATAATTACTACTTGATATAATTTATGCTGTATGTAATCATTTATTAATTAGTATAATTAATTGTGCATAAAATTATTTTAAATGTGATTATTTAAAAAAGATAGTGAAATTGCTCTGGTGCTGCTTGTACCTTAATCCAGGTAGTTCCATAATTAGATAAAACAACCGCAAGACTAAATGGAGTGCCAGGTAGGGGCGCATAAAAATAATCACGTTTTTCAAGGTTGACCCGACGATTGTCATCATAATGTAATTTCACGGGAATCCCCATCATGTTACCTCGCTTGTGATCCACCAGTGCTGATCTCAGCTCCAATAATTCGGGTCCCGGATTCCTGTGTCCATTTTTAATTAATGAATATTTCAAATAAAAGATAATAATAAAAGAAACATAACGATTAAAATATAAAATGTTTTATTTTTTTAAATAATTAATTCAATATTTTGTATTTATCTATCTATGGAGAAGAGAAACTATAATACTAAATGACGGAAACATTGTGTTATATACCTCGGCTCGCGTTCGTCGTCAAATATCTCTACCTCCGTGAGATCGATGCTATTATAGTTCAATTTAAGCCGGCCTTTGTAATCTGGTCGGAGGTCTGGATGCAATATCACATAGCCGTTACTGGATACAATAAAAGCATAGCCATTCACGCCAAGTTTATACGGCAACGTAAGTTCGCGGATGTCATCAATCGGCACGTCTGTGCCAGCCACGCCGAACAGTGTGTCATTCGCTGCATCTGCCATGTTGCTGCGATTGTTCTTACGATCAAACACAGGTGTGCTTACAGAAGTCAACAGTCTGTATTCTTGCCAGGTTGTGGTGTTCAGGGTGGATAAATCTTCTTCAATGTTCTTATCCTTGTGCAGCTACACAGAGCGATTGCGAGATTGAAAAACAGTTTTCGACTGCAATATATCATCTCCTTTACAATTTTCTTTCGTTAAGAGGAGTGAATACGGCGATAAGTTGGAACAAAAGCGAAGGGCCACGCTAATTCACACTCGGTCACTTCAATACCGAAGTATAGAGCGTATCTCGGAATCAAGGGTGCAACCGAAATTCCACGAGAACTGATTACAGAAACATATATTTTTCATCGCATGTAATATTCTTAAATCAGAATCTGATTTAAAAAATCTCATCGTTCAATGATATTTTTAAAGACTCGAGGTCCTTGATTGTCCGCTTAATCCCGATTTTATACAGCAGGTAACACTGGTCTAACAATGGGAAATAAATAAAAAAGAAATGAATTAAACTAAAATCGATGAAGCCCAGTAAACAGGGTACTAAACCTAGTGTGAAGTATTCAATCTATCTGCTAGTGATAACTTAATCATCGGCCAAATACTGGATTTACACTGGATCCGACGTGCAGCGAGTAGTCTTTTGCTGGATTCACAACGGATTCAACATTCATCGTACGACTTTCTGCAACCAATCAGAAAATAGGATTTTGCTTCGCATCATCGATACAAAATAAAATTCTGCTTTTTGATTGGTTGCAGAACGTCGTACGACACACGTTGAATCCATTGTGAATCCAGCAAAAGACTACTCGCTGCATAATTAATCATATCTCAATGCCTAGCGATAAATTATTTGTCCAGCTTTCTGAATCGACACTTCAATGAACTACGTTAATTAATTCCTCTAGGTATTAAGCCTTGACTTTAAGATTGAGCGAAATATTCAAAAAATTCTCAAATATAATTCTGAAATCAGTAAAAAGTAATATTAATTTAATTAAATAGGCCATTATTTATTATCTCGCTTGATCTTACACGAATTAACAAACAGAGCGATCAAAGTTGAAAATTATATATCTACTGATTTAAAATATTTTTAAACATATATCTTTTCTAAAAGAAGAATTTTAACAAAGTTGCGTCGCGTAAGTTTTACTCCCGTTTGGTATTCGAAAGATTAAATAATTGTGCCAAGGGAGATATAGCATGATATAAATCTACACGGAGTGCTTGGAAAGCCTAGGTACAAACAGCGGGGGTGCTTTCTTGATCGTATCTAAACTTGCTATATGTAGATTGTGTTCTTGTTTATTCACACGTCCATCCGTTTTCCTTTCTGATCTTTTCCAGTCGCGACTTTTATTGCTCATGCTTCATCACCCATCACAGCCAAGCGACAAGTGCTGGATTCTGATGGAATTTATGTATGTTTATTTTATTCTCCCTGTATATGTTTTTTCGCTTTTACAAAAACATTAAGACATAGTAGAAGATATAAAAAGACGAAATTTGTAGTAACAAACAAATTAAAATTATATGATTTTAAAAACAAATATATAAATATTATTAAAATTTACAAAGAATTGGAAAAAATACGGGCGTTAGGAGTCAGGCCCAGAAGACGTTGCGCAAATAATACACTTATGAAGCTTGAAACTTTATTCAACAAACGCGTTTACGTGTTTCGGTTCATTTTTTAGTCTTCCTCAGAGCAAACACAAAATGACATATATAAAGTAAAAGTTATTCTGTCATAATGAGCTCCCCTACATCAAGAATTTAAATATCAGAATTAAACAAAAAGAAAGAAAAGGAAAATGAAAAAGAAGGGAAATATTAAAAATGTCGAATTAAAGAATACAGAAACTAATTTATCAAAACTTTAAGAATATAATTAATTATCCCGAAAATAAAGACACTCACCACGATTACAAAGCACCGTATTGCAAACATTACCATGAATAATTCAAGAACCGGTTCCTGATATGTTGGCCAGTCGGTATCAGACACAGTGAGTCACTTTTTAGTTATTAGCTAGTATTAATGAAAATTGTAAAGTGATAAAAAATCTCGACAGAAGGACTTATTACTGTGTACGAACGATATCGACTGACAAGACGTGACAACAACTCGAGCTTTTATAATTTATCTATAATCGGGAGGTACACTGTTAGAAATGTTCTTAAATTTCATTAGCTTTTAATGTACATTGGTGAATAAAATTTAATTTCTCTGTAACTGAAAGGACTATTAATGCACATGTTAATGAGATTTAAGTTTACAGTAACTGAAAAATTGAGTGTAATGAAATTTAATATACTTTTATAAATGACATTTAATTAATCGTAATTGAAATAACTATTAATGTACATATTAATGAAATTTAAGTTTGTAGTACATTAAATTTCAATACGCTTAACTTAAAAGTTAAGAGTATTGAAATTTAATGTACTTTTACATTTACGAATATTAATAATATTTTAATTAAGCCTAATACTATTAACGTTTAATACGTTTATTACGTTCCTTACATATCATTAACGTAAATTACTTTTCAGTTACAGATCTCGTACTTTTCATTAACGTGTAAATTAATTTCTACAATAATGTGTTCATTAATTTCAATACACACGTTCATCACATTTAAGACTACTATAATTTAGTTTTTATTTACATCATTCATTACATTTAATTTCGTGCATAACGTCATGCTTCCTTTACATGTTAATTAAAATTTATTGAGAAATTTCTAACAGTGTAGGCCTTCGGGAGTCCCTCCATATCCGTCTGCAGGTTGAGTCCATGCGTTTGTCTCCTGATGAATATCATCTCCGAAATTCTCATCTCTTTCTGTAGTGAGGTTTCTCGTCCAATGCTGCAACGTTGTCTCAGTCAAAATCATGTCCCTCTTGCAATCGATGTTCCGCTATAACATTGCGAGCAGACGTGTTCTATCGGATGTGGTTCTTATGTTCCGTGATTCTTGACTTCAGTTGTCTATACGTCTGTCCCACACAACTCTTACACGAAATCTTATAAATAACCTTCGACTTCTCATCATGCGGTAAGGGGTCCTTATGCACCCTAATAAATTCACGCAATTTATTAAACTATAAAACGATACCATCATATGCTCGCTATTCAATCTACTAAACTTCTCAGTAATACCACGAACGAAAGGGACAGTGAACCACGAAGGCTGCATTACATCAACGCTATTATCACTAACAACATTCTTCCTATTACCAGCTATAATAATATTCTTCAAACGAATGTTAATGTTCTCAAATATAAAGCTCAAAGAATAATCATTCTCTAACAATACTTTAATTACGAAACACAAATTATTATCAAAGTGGAATTTAGGATTCGAAAGCAAAACCACCCTATCAACTAATCCCGCGATTGTACCTGTTTTTTTTAGAAACTCGGTGCTGTGACCAAAAATTCAAATATCTACCCGAAAAGGTTGGTTTGCGGTACCAATCGAACTCTATCAACTCATTATCCCTAATCACTGTTACATCCAAAAAATTCAATCTATCACTACCCACTTCCATAGTGAACTGAAGCCTAGGATGCTGAGAATTAAAAACATCAAGAATGCGAACTAACCGAAGAAACAGGCGCTGCTATGATTATATCATCAACATACCTATAGTAAAGGGGCAACGGAAACTGAATTGAAGACGAAGCTCTACTCTCCGACTTACGCATAACTAGATTCGCGATGACGGGAGACAACAGAGAGCCCATAGGAGTCCCGTAATTCTGCTTATAAATAACACTGTCAAAAACAAAAAAAGTAAAATCTAAAATAAACTGAACCGCTTTGATGAATTCCTCCTTCGGTAAACAACAATGTCTAAAAATGAATCGCCAATGGTCTTGGATACAAATCCATCTCATAGTCCATGGGAACATTAGTTCCCATATAATAGGCTAACAACATGTCCAATGACACTAACTGAAATTCATCACTCAACCGTCTACCATCAAGTTCCTTAACAAGTTTAAAACTATTATCGATATGACTATCCGCCTTAGGAATTGTTTTAATGATAATACTATGAAGAAACACTGCTAACGAATATAAAGGGCTATTTATCGAAGAAACTATTATACGAAAGGGGCAGTCTTGCTTATGTATTTTCGAAAGAGCGTAGGCCCTCGGATGTATCCCATCATTACATAACAAATTTCTATATGTGGAGTTAGATATATACTCTTTTTCCTTCCAACTAATAAGGTGCGTAAGCCCGTAACCATTCTCGAATTAACATAAAAAAATTACAAAGGACCCTCGATGTTGAGGCCATATTGTTATAATTAAGTTGTCGACGTAAGGTAATTATCGAATACACGCCCTGACATTCGTTTTAACATCAATAAATACAGTTTGAAAAATCAAGTACTTAATAAATTAAGTATTTGATAGGTGCAGCGTATGTACCGGAGCTACCCTAAGTATGTTAATGATATAATCATGGCAGCGTCTGTTTCTTCGGTTAGTTCCATTCTTGATGTTTTTAATTCTCAGCATCCTAGGCTTCAGTTCACTATGGAAGTGGGTAGTGATAGATTGAATTTTTTGGATGTAACAGTGATTAGGGATAATGAGTTGATAGAGTTCGATTGGTACCGCAAGCCAACCTTTTCGGGTAGATATTTGAACTTTTGGTCACAGCACCCAGTTTCTCAAAAAATAGGTACAATCGCGGGATTAGTTGATAGAGTGGTTTTGCTTTCGAATTCTAAATTCCACTTTGATGATTTGTATTTCGTAATTAAAGTATTGTTAGAGAATGATTATCCTTTGAGCTTTATATTTGAGAACATTAACATCCGTTTGAAGAACATTATTATGGCTAGTAATAGGAAGAATGTTGTTAGTGATAATAGCGTTGATGTAGTGTAGCCTTCGTGGTTCACTGTCCCTTTCGTTCGTGGTATTACTGAGAAGTTTAGTAGATTGAATAGCGAGCATATGAGAGTATCGTTTTATAGTGTTAATAAATTGCATGAATTTATTAGGATACATAAAGACCCCTTACCGCGTGATGAGAAGTCGAAGGTTATTTATAAGATTTCGTGTAAGAGTTGTATGGGGGACAGACGTCAAGACAACTGAAGTCAAGAATCACAGAACATAAGAACCACATTCGATGGAACACGTCTGCTTGCAATGTTATAACGAAACATCGGTTGCAAGAGGGACATGATTTTGACTGGGACAACGTTGCAACATTGGACGAGGAACCTCACTACAGAAAGAGATTGATTTCGGAGATGATATACATCAGGAGATAAACGCATGGACTCAACCTGCAGACGGATATGAAGGGGCTCCCGAAGGCCTACCTCCCGATTATAGATAAATTATAAAAGCTCGAGTTGTTGTCACGTCTTGTCAGTCGGTATCGTTCGTACACAGTAATAAGTCCTTCTGTCGAGATTTTTTATCACTTTACAATTTTCATTAATACTAGCTAATAACTAAAAAGTGATTCACTGTGTCTGATACCGACTGGCCAACATATCAGGAACCGGTTCTTGAATTATTCATGGTAATATTTGCGATACGGTGCTTTGTAATCGTGTTTAGTATCTTTATTTTCGGGATAATTAATTATATTCTCAAAGTTTTTTGATAAATTAGTTTTTGTATTCTTTAATTCGACATTTTTAATATTCCCCTTCTTTTTCATTTTCTTTTCTTTCATTTTGTTTAATTCTGATATTTAAATTCTTGATGTAGGGGAGCTCACCATGACAGGATAATTTTTACTTTATATATGTTAGTTTGTGTTTGCTCTGAGGAAGGCTCAAAAATGAACCGAAACACGTAAGCGCGTTTGTTGAATAAAGAAGTTTCAAGCTTCATAAGTGTATGATTTGCGCGACGTCTTCTGCGCCTGACTCCTAACGCCCGTATTCTTTCCAATTCTTTGATTTATATGGAGTCTTGGTTAGTTGATTTGTTATACGGTTAAAATTTACAATTTTAAAATTGTTTTTCTTCAAAAAATTTTAGATTTTTCGTATCACAGATTATAATATCATTTTTAATTTTCAGACAAATTTGTTTAAAACTGAGCAAATGAGTAATACATTTGTTATACACAAATTGTATAATTATACAATTGTATTAGATTTATATTAAATAATACATGCCAGTGTTTTTGTTTGCTGATAGTCTTTATTTTCCGAGCCAAATTTTGATCCTAGGAAATAGGAAAAAGTCGTTAGGGACTAGATCTGGCGAAGACGGTGGGTGGTTAATCAATTCGAAGCGCAATTCGTAAATTTCTGTCATGGCGACCGTGCCGACCGCTAATATTTTTTTCATTTTTACAAAAACACTGACATAGACTGGCACAAATGACTGTCAAACAACACCAATAGTTACAATTTTCACAGATACAAAGCATGTTTCAAAGCATGTACGATTGTAATATCCGAATGGTTTTATCGAGTAATGCCATCTTTATGTTGAGGCTCAAAACTTTTCAAATGACCCTCGTATAGAGAAAAGTGGGGGAACTGTGCGCATCCTGATTTAGTATTTTTCCAATAGATGAAGACATCACCGTGGTAAAATTTTTACGCAGGAAGTCCTCTTAAGATATAACTACAAAAGATACGACATAAATACATCACTAACCAAAGAAATACAAAAAAAAGAAATTACATCTTTTCTTGTTATTTTAGCATTCAGAAAATAAGGTGGTAAGTATATTAATTTGTTTGTGTAAAATTGTATACGTTATTAAAGTACGTTATTTTGTGCATCTTTCAAGCTATTATTTATTAAGTTTGGTTAGGAATTGTTGAAGTATTTCGTACCGAGTCAGGTCGCGGTGGGCAACTGTGCGCAAGCGTTTTAAAATGCGCACAATTATCCATCTTCCATATACTGTATGACTAGTTTTTTCGTTTCTTTTTGGCATTACTATTTTATTTTGCCATTTCATTTTGCCAAAGTGCATTATTATTATATTAGTTTTGTATTTTTTCTTAATATATACAATATACATTTAAAATATGGTTAATATATATTTATATTGCAATATAATAAATGTATGTTCTAATTTCTATGTCAACATTCCACAATTCATTCATTTCTTACGACTTTTATTTTACGCACAATTACCCATTCGTACAATTACCCGACGCGCGAGAAATTTTTTCGCTTTTCCGTTTTTTTCTTTTTGCCAAATACAACCTTATTGAATAAAAATCTGTTCAAGATAAGGATACTGGTAGAAGAATATTTATAGTTTCTATTTCCATACTTATATCGCTTTAAAGTTAGAAAACCATCCCAAGAAAACAAATATCCCTTAGGTGCGCACAATTCGCCCACTTCCCTCTACTAATAATTTTACAATATATTTCTCATAAATTTATCACCATTTAAAAAACTTTATTGAATTGCTCACAGAATGACGGGAAAAAATTAGATTAAAATTAGACCTTTTAAAAGTTTTTAACATTTCTTACCGTGATTTTCTTAGCGTAAGCATGTGTCCACACGATAGGATGTACCACACTCTGAAGTACCAAAGGACGCGCTACGACTGGAATGTACTTGAGCACTTGTTCGCGCACTTCCTCCTGAGTCTGTACTTGCTTGTAGTCGCCAAGATTTAGACACGATCTTACCATCCATTGGAGTTCATCCATTTTTGTCGCTTCCTTACCTATAAGATATGTAAATACTCGCACCGGTATATAAGTACTATTTTCATTCCAATTCCATTTTTTGAATACCTAAAATGAAAGAAATAGAAATCACAATCATATAGTAATGTTTATTCAGAAAAATTTTTAATCGTCATTATTTATTTTTAAAATTATTTCATCGATACATTTATTTCTGCAAATGATCTTGGTTTATTTGGATATTGTTGTTACTTCTATTTACACACCCTCGTATAGAAAATTTTTCAGAACAGAAAAGAGTAAAAGTCCAATAAAAAAGAATGGATTAAAATGAATTAAAAAATTGCAATTCATCTTAATTTATCCAAGTTCGCGGTTTAGAGACCGGAACTGGATTGAAATAAATTTATATCTCAAAACATAAATTTGTTTCTGTTCATGAAATGAATCGAAAATGAAACGACTTGAAAATAAATTTCCTCCCAGTAAACGGAAATGGATTAAAATTTTTTGTATGCGTACTTTAAAAAAATGGATTGAAATGGATTGAATGGATTGAAATGGATTGGATCTGACTGATATTAGTTTAATATTCGAAAAAAAAATATATTCATATTTAAGGGTTACAAATTTTATTTCTAAGACATTTATAGTAATTATAACTAAAATTAATTACTTCAAATTGGTATTAAAAAACGCATCTTAGTGGGATTCGAACTAGGGCTCAGACAAAAGATTCGAACATGTTGAATATTCGATCTATTCGAATAGTTCGAAGTTGAAAAAAATGAGCATCTAATTCCAATATTTCGGGCAGTTCGAACAGTTCGAGCGCAGTGATCAGTATGAAATGTCAATTCGTTATGTCTGAAGTTCGGACAGTAAACAATATAGTATGGAAACAAAAGAGCAGTTTTTCACGAAACTTGAATATACTAAAATTACAAAAATGTCAAAAAGAAAAAGTTGCGTCATATTCAGTCATATTCAGGTTGATCCTGAGGACTTATTATGTCTGAGTTCGAAATGTAATAAATTTGAACTTTCATCTCTGAAGTGGGTTAAAATAGTTCGAACATACATTCAGTCTGAACTATTTAATGGCTACGTTCAGCAGACTCAATAGTTTTGCAACCGTTTTATGATTCTTCACTCAGATTGGACTATTCCTTTAAAACTAAAAATATAAACCAATTAGTGCAACGAATCATAAAATGGTTGCAAAACTGCTGAGTCTGCTGAACGCAGCCAATGAAACTTGAGATTCGAACTGTCCGAACTATCAAATCGTCTGATATTTCCGAGCACTAATTCGAACCTGGGGTGCTATTCTGTAACTTGCATGCTTTGTCGGCATTCTGTAGTCTTTACATGCTTTGTCGGCATGTACAGTTGTGTTGTCGGAATGTATAGTTGGATTAAAACGAAAAATTTCCTACTTATAATTTTGAAAGAATTAAGTAGTATTTATAGTCCATTTTTAAATAAAAACTTTTTTATTCAATTAGATTGAAAAACTGTATTTCCTATTAACAATTTTGAATTGAGCAGTATTCATGATGCACAGAAAATGCTAATATTATTTTTAGATTGAAAGACATAGAGATATATGCTCTATGCAATTCCTATAAATGAATAAAAATGTATTCAGGATTTATTTTAACATTCATGAATCCGTATTTTTGATAATCAGAATCCATTTTAATCCATTATTTCAATCCATTCTCGTTTGCTGGGCTGTAAATATTCCTTTGATTTTATAATAACATTTATAATTCCTTTTTTATAAATATAACAGTACATTCACTTCGATCGAAACAGGAATATAATTCCTATTGAATATTGTACTCGAATAGAAATTTAGGACTTATATATCAGATATAGTATCAGGATACTTTTCCGTCATAACTTTTTTTGGTAATTATTCAGAATACGGATCCCCCCCCTCTAGAATCTTAATAAAAATGTACTCATTCGATGCGTTTTTTATAAATAGGTTAGCTGTGAGTACATCCCAGTTCAAAATGATGAAAATATACACTTTCATTTAAGTAAAAAAAGGGTAATTATTTAGAATACCCCCTCCTCTAGAATCTTAGTAAATATGTATTTATTCGACGCATTTTCACTCAAAACGAAAGAATCTGGCAAAAAAACGCAACGGTCAGCCTCGTGAATCGAGTTATGAGTGTTAAAGTTCAAGACTTTAGAGGTTGAGATATCTGTCATCCTAACTCGGTACAGCACTATGTATACGTTGATTTTTATTAATATTCTAGGGGGGGGGGTATTCTAAATAATTACCTTTTTTTAATTTAAATAAAAATGTACATTTTCATAATTTTGAACTGGGCTGTATTCATAGCTAACCTATCTACAACATAAGTATTTTTGGACTCAAATGGATAGAAATACGAAATGAACTATTCATCATGTTGAATATATATTTTTAACAATACACTTTATCTGGAATACATTCTGAGAATGATCTTCCCATGCAACGATGCGACGTCTTTTGGACGTCCAACGACTTGTTCGTCATTCAAGGATGTACTAGGTACCAGGTGTACAAGTATGAAATGCGGACTTTTTAAAAAAAAAAAAAACACGTTAAATTCGGAAGAATGATAAAAAGTGGTTTATTCAAAGTATGCTCCATTGCTAGTTACACATTTTTCCCATCTTTCAGGTAATTTGTGGATACCACGCCAGTAAAAATCTTCCCCTTTTGCCGCGAGCCATTCATCGAGCCATTTTTTCACATCTTCGTACGAATCAAAGCGCTGCTCAGCAAGTGAGTGACCCATCGATGCAAACAAGTGGTAATCCAAAGGAGCCAAGTCTGGTGACTAAGCCGCATGGGCTAGCACTTCCCAGTTGAGTGCTTTCAATGTGTCACGAACCGGTTTTGTCATATGTGATGGAGCATTGTCATGGAAAAAAATGATCTTGTGTTACCTTTTTCGATATTCTGGTCGTTTTTCGTGTAGCGAACGGTTCAAATCGATCAATTGTTGTTGGTAGCGTTTGATATTAACCGTTTCAGCAGGCTTTAACAGCTCATAATAGACCACACTCTTCTGGTCCCACCAAACACAGAGCATCGTCTTCTTGCCAAAGCGATTTGGTCTTGCGGTCGATGTGGATGGTGCGCCTAGGTCTACCCATGATTTTTTGCGCTTGGGATTCTACGATTCGGTCTTGCGGTCGATGTGGATGGTGCGCCTAAGTCTACCCATGATTTTTTGCGCTTGGGATTCTCAAAATATATCCACTTTTTATCCCCAGTATTTTATCCCACGATACGATGCAAAAACGACTTTCTTTTGTATCGTTCGAGCAAAATTTCACATGTGTTTTTGCGCCTCTCCATCTGCCTCTCGTTCAACTCATGTGGTATCCATCTGTCGACCTTTTGAATCTTTCTCATTTCTCGTAGGTTGGCGATTGGAAACAGCTTATTGACTAACGTTCAATTGCTCTGCGAGTTGTTTTTGTGTTTGTGAATCGTCTTCGTCCAACAATGCTTGCAATTCTACATCTTCGTACCTTTTTGGCAGTTTTCCGTGTTCCTTGTCTACAACATCGAAATCACCACTTTTGAAACGCCGAAACCATCGTTCACACGTATCTTGCGATGGAGCATGTTCACCATAAGCTTCTCGAAGTAATCGGTATGATTCAGCGGCAGTTTTCTTCAAATGAAAACAAAAAATTAATGCAGTCCGCGAATGTTCTTTATTTGGCACAAATTTCGACATATTGAACACAGCAAAACAATACTATGCGAACACTTTTTCAATTTATCACTTATGCGCGTTTGACACTTGTTGATGGCACAACAAAATGGCATATACGTCAAATCTTTATACTACACACT